GCATTGTTTAAGTATATAGTCTATACATCCTTAAGATAATGATATCGATAAGATAAGAGTGCTATTGTTAGTCGACAATGTCTAAGAATGAATTACTTTTCAAAACATTCATACACTTTTTTTAACACATTTATCTCATATCCGGACGCCTATATTTTTACTTGTGCAGAAATCAAACGATTATCTTTGGTCTATGTTCATCTTTGATCACATTTGTCAGAACTTGATACGCGCTCTGATAATTAGATTTGATTCACAGAAAGCGAAGAGTCAAGATAGTGCGATCTCTTTGCCAGATTTGATAAGGCATGACAAAATTATCATTATGGCGAGCAGAGTAGTAAATCATTTAATTTAATCAGCATATCTTTCATCGCAGCTGTAATTACACAATTATAATGGAACGAAAAAGAACGAATTGGTGATGACTACATGCAAAAAACTTTCATACTGTCCATATGTGTTTCCCATATTCTATAGATGACGATCGAAATGATTATGAGTACTGACAAATGGGTCGATGCGCTATAATCAGAGTCACTTTTTCTCATATCTCTTCCTATTCGCGGATCGTTAAATCTCGACGTCTGAACAGTCTTACAAGCTCGAACCACCATAAGTTTCCTCTTCTAGCCCGCAAGAAGCGCGAAACTTTTCTAATCGGGATTAACGAGCCGTTTTATCATCGTAGGCTGGACTGCCGGGATCGACACGAGTAATTAATTCGAATGCCTGATGTGGCATTTTTACGTTTCGCTCTGAATGAATCGCATTCCGTTCTTTATTCGATTCTCATTTTCGTGTTCTGTTAATTATAGCTTTCTTACTTAATTCACGTGTCGAAAAGGTGTCGCCGAGCGTTTCCGGATCAGTTCTCACTTTGTCGGCACCCGGGATGATATCCATCTCCATCGATTTATCGCGGATCCAAGGGAAAGGGTTCCGCGTGGCGGTTTGGGGCCAACCCGTGACCGCTTGCGACTGCGGTGAGGAACCAGCCAGATGGTTATCGCGGTTCCTTCTCCAGGAGGACACTGGATTCAGATTGGTCTACTACCCTCTACAGTATCCGACGAGAGACGTACGGTTGAAGAACAGACACTTCTCGGCGACTAAAGAAGACACTGTAAATTTCAATTTTTTCCGTTTAACCAGCCATAATCTGTTTATTCGAAATCTAAAGAATTATTCAATAGGGTGCCTTCCAAGATGCCGCTAGTTATCACATACTGAACGAGGGCTCGGTAACCGAGTTGAATACCAGATTAGAGACGCCAGTCACGTCGGCAAATTTTCGGCCGAACTTCGTAGTGAAAGGCGCTATTGCCTATGAAGAAGACACTTGGGGCTGGGTGAAGATTGGTAACGTAATTTTTAAAACTGTCATGCCGTGCACTAGATGCATCCTCACTACTGTTGATCCGGAAACAGGGACGAAGAACCCTAACGCGGACCCCCTAAAAACATTAAAAAGGTAACGATTTATATAGAAACGATTTTGTTTATCAATGTGATCGTAATATGTTACTTGAAAATTTGATTTACTTTGCAGTTACAGGCAAGTAATGGATCCGGAACTTCGGCCGTTAGCCGGGGAGAGCCCGGTATTAGGACTTCATCTCGGTCTGAGGAGCTCCAGTGGCACTGTTAGACTCGGAGACCCGGTGTACGTCGGTCTGCCCGAGGACCAACCAATATTGATATCGCCACCCTAGCTACACCGATGGGCTTCCTGCGAAGACGAGATGCTCGTCTTCGAGGAAGCCCCGGGATCCGCGGACGAGGATCCTTTACGAACTGACTTAACGAGCGAAAAAAATTCGTAGCGACGAGCTACGAGATCCTAAAATCTTGTGATTGAAATAGGGCCTAAAAAGCATTTGCTCGCGATGGACGTTGTTCTTCTAATGATGCAAGGAGTACGATAGTCGTGACCGTGATAGTTCAAAACAGTATACAGTTCGTCGAGTGTATTTCGCTTTGAGAATGAAGAATTTATCGCGACAGATAATTAATTAGGGAATCGTTGATTCTCGAGTATCTTATTTTTGGTAAATGTTGATCGTGGATCAATTTCACTGAGGACAATATTAGTCCATGTCGGACGCGTTATATATCAGATATATTATAGGAAATAAAATGAATACTAGGGAGAATGTGTTTTTAAATTTGCAGGCAGAAATGAATACTAGTGTATTTAGTATAATAATATTTATTTATTTACACTACAAAACAACGGGGATGATTTACAATAAGAGAAGCACAACGCGTTCATTTCGAAGATCGACACGTTTTTACGTACGTATTCGTTGACGATGATCGTTCTCTTGTTGCATATCCGTTACATTCAAGAGAATGATATCGTTCTGTCTTGTGCGCGGCGTACAAAAGTCCAATAAATAGTACCAAAATTATCTCGGGCCGTATTTAGTTTTCTACGATGGGAAGGGGACACTATTTTAGTTTGGTCATCACCGCAATTGCTAGCTTCAGCAATTCCTTGAATAGGATGCAGGAAGGGAATATATCATAATTCGTGTACAATCGATCAGGAATAGAGAAACAATCAATGCTTGGCACTGTTGCATTCCGGGAACAGCTATGTACAAGTTCACGCGAGATTCTACTCGACTTTGACTCACATTTCCAAATGACAATTGCTATCTAAGAAATGTACCTGCCGATGAAACGTTGAATTTGAAATTTCGAGCAAATAGTCAACATCGACGGTGTACACCTTCCTAATTGCTACGCGAGTAAACCAGACTATAGTAGGGGTATTCTACATAAAACGTACAAAATAAAACGGGAGAAGAATAATAGGGAGAAGAGATAGACGAGCTAGAGGACGTTGAAGGGAACGAAGAGGGAGAGAACCGAAAAGCAAGAGGACGGAAGGGACACGAGGATGTCGCGTGATACGACGCGATCTTTGATGAGTCGCGAGGTTTGCATGATGTTAAAAAGTTCAAAACGAGGACGATTCGTTGTTGACGATCGACGAGACGGTTCGAGAACTTCGGGGACAAGGGGGCGACAACGTGTGTTGATTCCGTGTCGCCAACGTCGTACCCGTGTTCAGTCTGCTTGTGAGATTCATCAGCTCGGCGATGGCGAACCCACTGGCCGTTCTGAGCGTTTCTTCAGGACCGATTTGATCTTCTCATGCACTTCCACGCCCGGCATCATCTTCTAGATGATGGAAGTGATCAATCTCGCCTTGAAATTGACGATACGCTCACTCGTCGCTGCCAGGCGCTGCAAATTATAATTAATAAGATAAAACAACGAATAAGTGTTAGCGTCCGAATTCTTCATCCAGGTAAGCTTTCATTTACAAATGTAATAGAGATCGTTTTAAGACTCTCGGGCGAATAGCCGATATGTTTGTTAAATCAGATCCTAATTCTAAGTACAAGTGGTGGATACGGATAACGAGTGCCAGAAATAGCGCGCTCGTACTGAATGCGTTTTACCTCGGTGAAAGGACATAAGGAAAAGAAATTTCTTTCTAATCTGAATAGACTTCCTGATCTCATCGACGTTCACCACGCGCAGTCAGATGGAAAGTTAGATTTTGGAAAAGAAATATAGAAATCGATTTTATGCTTTTTCAATTTCTAATGGAACTTGGTTTTGCGTTTTGAAAGTGTCGCAACTTTCGAAAAAACGTTCCACGCTTAAGTTCTTGTTTTCACGTTTCTTTTCCCCACGGTTTCAAACAAAATGATCGTTATTGAGAAGGATCATCTGAAGATCATTAGAGTGCTCGTCGCTCCTCTTTGTGCTCGGAGCCTGTGACGGCGTTTCCGATTCGGCGTGTTACGCTGGAAATCGGCGGATTCCGCGCGACGCGCGAAGCGTGAACGCTTTCCAGCCGATATGCCCGCTTCTTTCCGAGCGAGCGTAAAGGTTGCGCATAATAAGTAACAAGATTTAAATTCTAACAACGTTCGAACACAACTTACCGGTGTTTGTTTTTCCGTTCTGTCCGCGTTAGCTTTCTCTGGCTTCTCGTTTGGAAAACATACCGTCGCGCGTTACCTTTTATGCGTAATGAAGACGTAGCCGGCCAATTGCGCGCGTTGGGAAAGATACGAAAAACGTATTAAGTCGGTGCGTATCAAACTAATAGATTCCACTTGAGAATTTTTTCATACGAATTCTTCTCCAAATGTCTTTTTCCCGCTGGAATTCATGGAATCGCAGAAAAATCCACTGCCCCTTTTTTTATATGTTTAGAAATCGCGAGACTAATCAATCGAGTGCTAATTCAGATCTTTATGTTAACGAATGTAGATAAACTTATTTCGAAAATGGATCGGTTTTTATTGAACCGCGTGACAAATCAATTAGCTAAGCGTTTGAACACAGATCGCTTTTTGCGGAACTGTATCGTGAGAGAATCGAGCGTGGCGATTATGACGGCTCAATGCCCTCTAATGAGTTACAGTCAGCTAAGAAAGTCTTTATACATTAGTATGAACCTGGCAAATTGGAAATCCAATTTTCATTGCAAATCGTGGGAACGTAGAATATGAGTAAACAAGTGGAACAAATTATTTCGTCCTTAAGGGGTGAAATCAGCGACTGAATTTCCCTAATAGTATTTTAACCACGCGAGATACAATAGGATTTTCTGTACTTAAACTGTTTCGCCTTTAATGCCCTGTCACTCTTCAGATAATGAATAAACGTTAAAATGTTTTAATTTTACATCCGTAAAGCCCAAGTCTTCACGGAAATAAAAATTTGCTTCATGTACAGAGATTTCCGAAATTTGCAACATGAGACAACTCACAGGCTACATAGTTTCCTGAATATTTCTCTTCAGAGATCGGTTTTGCTTTCGCTCTGTGAGCGGAACACGCTTCAATCTGTTAAACGGGAAACCATAATTAGCTACTTATTTAGACTAGCACCGAGTCGCGTGCTATTACGATATCTTTAAATCAGCTGGCTGCTCATTAACTGATCAAATTACATTACTCGATCAAATAACACTATTATAGAAGATCAAGGAACAACGCCTTTGTTGTATTTAATGAAATCGAGTGACGGAAATGTTTCGAGTTTAGGAATTGGATAGATAATTTCGTCTATAGTAAATAATTTAAATAAGAGACTGCAAATTATGCATAATAGGTGAAGGTATATAAAATAGTATTTAAATGTTGAACTATGACATTTGAACTGAGTAAAACATCCTTGACTGCTTTAGCTCGTTTATTAAATTAGCTCATTAGAGTGAACGCAAAACCGTGGAAGTAACTAAAAATTTACACTCGACGAGTTAATTGTACTTAATTAATTTAACCGCATTGCAATGTACCAATTAATAATATTTATGCAAATAGTAATTTCATCATTTTATTTTGAATAACTGTAAATGCGAGCATTTATGCATATTCGTAGTTATTTGAAATAAAGTGATGACTTGGTACAGAGAAGCGACTGCATCGCCAGAGGGATCGCCGTTTGAGGACGTAGGGTCGAGATGAATCGCGTTGGGTGATCGGGTGGTCAAGATGTGCCCCTGGCAGTACCGCGTGGCAGGAGCCACGTAGCCAGCAGCTGCTTGCATAAGTCAGCCGGTAAATGGGCGACGAGCTATTTCATAGAGAAAGTCGCTTACATTTTGCTTTCCATTGATCCCCCCTGTACCGGGAGGAGGGAACTCGGGTTACGTAACGAGGCGCGCTGGCCGGTTTTATATCTGGAACGACAAACGCGCGTCACGGTTGCGCGGCTTTCGGCAAAATCTCACATCGCGCTAGTAGAATTGGTCCACGTCGAATCGCAATCTCACCCCGCGGCCATTACGCAATTACCCGGTCGACTTTTATTATTTCTCTACTATGCCACTTAAGGACGCACGATAATTTTCTTCATTTTAATCTCCTCGTCCAATCGTTCCGTGAAAATTATATTTTAAAAATATTTCACAGATTGAAAGATACAGTTTATGATAATCCTTATCTCTTCCTATATAAACTAGAAGCACAATTGATAAATTAGATGAAAAAATTGAATAGATACTTTTGTTCGTTAATCTAAAATATACTCTAGATTTAATTGCAATAATATCATATGCCTTGTTTGTATGGGCATTGATCATCGCGTGATAAACAAAGTGTACAGCACCGGATAACACGGAGAGATAAATCAGTAGGCACTTTGTAACCACTTAGTCACGATATCCTCAATTAGACCCGTCTGTCAGACTTTCCACGTGAATCAACCTGTCTCGTGCTAAGCTTCGAGTCACCACGCAGATTCTAATCGACAATCGTACTAGACGAATCATTATTGACGATGTTATCTCGATGATGATGGATGCTGCGACAATCACGGATCGCGACTACCGATACAACCGTATTGACGAGACGTGTTACCCAAAGTAGGATGCAGCGAGATTATATTGTCCGACGAGTGTCTCGGGAACGTTTCACTTTTCTTTAGAAAAAGTGTGTTGCGTAAACCCGCGAAAAAGATAAGCTAAGAATTGGTCGAGGGTACAAAAAGATTGAGCGAATGATCCCGAACAGGTTAATGGTACTTCGTTCGTGACCCGTCACGCTGGCTGCCCGGAAAGTTTCGCGGAAAGTCGCATTCGAATTATTCCGCAATCGATTCTATCCTATCATGTAGCATTGTGTCCTCGCTTTGTTAGAGATAATCGATTTCTATCTTTAACCGCCGCAACTTAATAGAGTTTCATCCATATTGCCCGTTTATGTCTGGCAAAATTATTGTTACTTTTATGAAACGTTCTTTTACGATCGTTGTGCAAGAGCAATTTGTAGTCTTAGCTTTAGCTTTCCTTGGTTACTCAATACAGTTTAACATATCGCATTCTTACACACACAGAGATGTTCAGTGAATTGAACTAAATATCACAGAAAAGAATTACTCACCAAAATGAGATCCTGTATGAGATTCGAGATTCCCCTGTTCGCGATGACGAAGAGCCTGGTAACTGGTCCGGGAACCGCCTCCTGGGTGTCGTCGGTTTTTCCGGCCGAAGCATTCCCTGCGCTTCCGCTTCCAGCCACCAGCTGCAAGCAATCGAACCGCCGGTTAGTCGAACTCCCGTCGAAGGCAGATCAGATTCGATCACGGGAAAGAGCTCGACAGAAGTAGCGAATGATAGACAAGTTGCACAGATGGTCATCGATCTTCGCGTGAATTATCTTATAAATATCTTTTTATTCGGGAAGTAATAGTTGTGGCAGAGCGTGCAGCACTGCAGCTCCACGTCCAGCTCCAGCGCCTACGACACTACGGTGCTCTCAAATCCTGAATCCTACTTGCGATCCGTCGATCTTGCTGCTACGATCCTTACGTGCGCTCCTCCGGCTCGTGACATTGTTTTCGAATAAATTGTAGGCTGTTCATACGCATCAAACGAATGTCTTCTGCATCGTGTAAAATATAATGATTCATTCAAATGTCATATTAATTTATTAAAATATCGTTTTGAATGAAGACATCGGTTCCTGTTCGTATGAACAGCCTACAGGGGTGCACAGAAACATATTCACCAGGACCCAGAGAAACAACAATTTACTGTGACAATTGTAATAGACGGCATGACGCACGTTCGTTACTATACTTACGCCTACTCAAAGAGAAACGTACGTCACGCGCCGTGCTGGCATTTTGCTACTGGAAAAATTCGTGTCCGAAGCCAGGCGAATCGGCTGCGCAAGAATTTCAACAAAAATTCTTAATTCATTAATATATGTTGAAAAGTGAAAACGTAGTAGGCAAGCTGATTCGTCTGGATTCGTCGTTGCGTATTGCTTTCGATGCGTTCCAATATCAGTGAACTACAACGAGGCTAAAGATTTGACGCTGGTGGGCTAACTACCCCTGGCAATAAGTTCTTATATATATCGTCTAATGACAAGTAAAATCCTTTAACTCGATAATTTTTTACACGTGAAATCGTGTACTTTTAAAACAAACAATTAAATGTTAAAAAAGAAACTTGTTGCCAGAATCGATATAGACGCGCGTGTGTATATGTGTGCAATGAACAAGTATGAAATTACAACAACGAGAGAATCGGCGATATCGATCAACGGCTGTTTTGGGACTCCTAGACCAGCGGTGACGTCCATCAGCTGCGTCGAGAGTCTTTTCAGTAATCCCGGTCGTTGCGTCGGGACCGTTGTTGGCCGGGTGGAACGATCGGAGAAAAAGGGGTGAGAGGGATTGACTGAGTCGTTCGACTCATCCCGAACTCGAGGGGAGAAGGGTCGCCCTTAGAGGATGCGTGAACGTTAAAAGATAATGGATGTTCTTGGTTAGTGACATCGACGATGGATTATGTCTAATGAGACCTGGCCTACGCTGGGACCGTGTGAGATCGATGAGGACGTCGCTAGGACTGCGCGCCAGGCTTCACCTGGAAAATCATTTTCTCGCGATATCATGTATCTCCCTCGAGAGATTGAGTGAATCAAAGCTAGGCGCGCAATCCATGCACGATCGAGACGTGGGAGAGAACGAAGAAGAGAAGACGAAGAGTAGAGAAGAAGTGTCGAAGGATTAGGAAGAGAAGCTCACGAAGAGAGGACAGAGAGAAAAACCAAAGATACGAGAGACAAGATCGAGTAGTTAAGTAAACGAAAGAACGAAGAACAAACGAAGAACGTGCGGAGAGATGTGAGAACATGCAAAGAGCGTGATCATGCAAACATACCTACGCGGGCTTACCAAGGATGCTGTTAAACGTTATTTATAATACGTGCGAAGTACTTCTTACCAGTGGAATGATAAATATTTGGCACTTTGAGAATCGACTATTATTTTTTAATGTTACTACTTTCCATCGATTTAATAATTGTCGACTTATAGCTTGTTGCGACTTTGAAAAAGTACTTTTGGTACGTTATTATGTAAATCCTCTGGAATGTCATGCTGGCGAAGGGAAAGCGTCATTTCCAAAAGCAGAGAATAGCACGAATTAAAAATTGAAATAGTTGAACAAACTTGTAGCGTTCGTTAATCTGTTTAGTGAAGGCAGTAATTTGTGCGACTGATCAAGCCTCTCTTGCACTGATAACTAAGTGAGAAAATGTTTTTTACAATTCTTTTTTATATCAGCAAATTGTTCGTTCATATTAAACGGCTATCAGTCAGCTTGATCAATCGTCTGTCTCGCAATGACTAACAGAAAGAAGTAAACTAAAGAGAGATTGGTAGAAAGGTGAAAAATGAAAAAAGCAAAGGAGAAATTCCAGTTAGCAAATATTTGTTTCGTCAGCCACTTTCATGCGAGACAACAAACGTGTCTAACAAGTGTCTAATGAATTGAACGTTTGCTAAATAGAATTCTGGTTAAAGAGACGAGTAGAGAAAAGAATTAAGAAAAAGAGAAGAGAGTTTGGCAGTATCCGTTCGGTTCTGCTAGGAAGGATTGGCGTACCGGTGGTAGGTTGCCGGCTCCTGACGAGGCCGGTGCCATGGTCGAGGATCCCGTTGCTGACGACGAGGAACCAGGAGCGGCAGCAGGGGCGGCGGCACCCTGTGGAATTGGGCTCAAGTCGCGAGACGCGCTTAAGCCGAGCCCTAGGCTCTGCGTACCTGCCACTACACGGTACACCGTGCCCGCCGCTCGCGCCGCCCCGTCGGCCGCTTGCTAAATCGAGAACAGAGACGAGAAAACTTTCGTTTACTGATCCGCTCCTGATCCGGTTGCATGCCTCTCTTTACGTCTATCTTTTAGTCATTTCTCTTTTCTTTTCACGTTTCGTATCGACGACGGAGTTCTCCAACCCCTAGCTGACTGCGAGTTAGTAGACGTTCAGTAGAGATTCCTGTAAAGCGGCTGAAACTGTACTTTAGCGACTGGATTGGCAGCCGGTTTCCTTTTCGAACTTGTCGCTCGATCATTTTTCATTCACGCTGGTATATCTCGTTTATCAGTTTGGTTCGTGAGTTTCGTGAGGGTTACGTATTTTTTTTGTTTCTTTGTCGGGTGAAGAGTGGAAGTCTGAAGGCGGCCTTTCGCGGCGGACTTTCAAAAGGAAACGAAGGCTGGTTTTTCAATGCCGCAAATGGCAGTCGTTCCGTTGACCAGTTTCGATCGGTTCAAGCAGCCACCTGTTTACCGTCTCTCATGATCACGCAGGTTCAGTAAGAACAATAATTGTCTCTGCTGTCGAGGAATCACGTACACCGATATCAATAATGTTCTTGAATGCATTTCGTTTATTCAGTTCCCTCAAACGCGTTTAGAAGGGATTCTACGACAAACTGACTTCGATTAAAATTCTCGCGACAGCGCGGCGCCTAGAAAATCCAAAATCGATAATCGTTTGCGCAATTTACCCGACTTCCAACCAATTTCGCAATCAGATTTCTCGAACGCGGCACAAATTTACATAGTCCACGGATTTCTTCTACTGGTATTCTCGATTCCCGACTTTTTCTCCTGTTTTCGGCACGAGGACGCGATGATCACGTCTGATCGTCCGTGAGGCCGGGTCGTGCCTAGGTCAGGAACCTTGGAATAGTAAACCAGACAGCGCGCGGCGATCATGCGATCATTCGGTCGTACACTTTCACTGGGAGTAGGCGCCCTTGTCGCGCTATTCGTCTCTAGCTCACTTGAATATTAAACAATTTACCAGTTCGCATGGCATCGATCGACTATCTATAATTATATCAATATATCACGTTACTGACGTAAAATCACACTTTTTAATACTTTCAATTATCCCGCCTTTGTCCCAACGAGAAGGGAGAACAGAAAACATCGAACTGGGACTTGGAAAGTTTCAAGTAATAAAAACTCTTCGTCTGGTTTATTATTGACTCAAGAGAATACGCGCGAACCTCCACTTTTCACCCGATGAAAGGACGATACTTATCCGAGGATCGCGTAAGACTTACCCTGATTATGTCGAAGAGGAAGTTCCCGGAACCGGCGCCGCTACCGGTACCACCCGAGCCACCGAAGCCGAAGTTGAGGAACCTCTTGTTTCTGTTCTCGTCGTCGTCTGCATCGGCTTCGTCGAGCGGCGTCAACGGCGGCACCGGATCTTCGTTGCCCTGCTCGTCCGCGAATTGAACTTTCACCTCGTTGTTCTGCGACTCGGCCACCTCGTTCACTCTGTCCTCCGCTTCTGGGTTCACGTCCTGCGGAAAGAAGAACGTTCACGGTCGACCTTCCCTCTCATCGACATTCCGAAAACCGGTCGATCACCATGGAATATTACAACGTTTTAAAGATTTTATGACAGTTCAAAAATTCAGCCTGCCGTTTGATTGATTATCTTAATAATGGCATTCAATGGTGATAGACGCGGCCTTCCAAGTTTACGACGCGCGTCTTCGCGATGTCTCGTGATCGGGACGCGCGGCGGTCGTCGATCGGCAAGCGACGAAGAGAAACATAAGTGGAAAATTAATGAGATTAGAATAACGATCTCCAGTTGTATACGCTTGTCGGAAATCGTGGAAAATTATGTCAGTAGATTACGCGCCATACTCATTGGCAAAGCTGGATATGTTTCATGAACTGTAAACTTTATAGTGTTCGATCGAAGCTTCGTTGATTTTTTTACGATTCCTCTTGAACAGCTTCAGTGATGCGGCACGTTCGCATAAATGAGAACTCACCTGACGATCTATTGGCAAACGTCCCATCTGGCAATCGACGAAATGGTATATCGAGAGAGATGCTAAGCGATCGATAGAATCGAGAGATGGAACAGAGTGAGAAGCAACGAAGTCGACGTTCCATAAAAACGATCGATCAGATGGCAGACCCAACGAGAACGATTTGACGCTTCCGATGAACAGAAAATAACACTGACAAAGTTTCAGAACGTACATACACAGAACGATGTAGGAAGAATGATGAGATACGAGAAGAATACAGATGTACAGATTAGGTAGACAAATAGCAGTAGGTAGTAGTAATAAAATAATAAAAAAAAAATAGATGACGGAGATGCGTACACGTAAACGCACATAAAGAAATAGGCACGGTTAGCAGATACGCAACAAACAGGTGCGTTGGTAGAACAGAATTATTTTCTCCCGCAGCAGTCCCAATTGCGCGGTGATCGGTCCTTGCCGAGGATCAATCGGTTACTCTCTTCGGGTTTGATTAACCTCCAACGTGTTACCGATCCGGCCTCTACCGACGGTCACACGACCGTGTTGGAGACGTCGGTCGTCGTTTCGTCCACGGCGGTCGTGGCAGCGGTCATCATCTTCGTTGAGGAACGAGTCGAGGATTCCGTGGTCTCATCCTCGTCCGGCGGGAACGTCGGCAACGATATCGATACCTTCGATCCGTTGGAACTGGTCGACTTGAACGGGTCGTCGTCCTCTTCGTCGTCGAACGGCGACGCGGCGGTCGCCGACGATCCGTCGCTCGACGGCCGAGCAGAGTCGCCGCCGCTGGCACGATTGTTCCCGAGGAAACCTTGTAGCAGCGTCGGGCCGAGCACCCGGATGATTTCCGCGACGATCGAGTTCACCTTTTGCTCGATCATCTACAAAACAACAGCACTTAGCTGGCCTCTCCAGCCGGCCCTCTCGTCTCCGGATGAATTTCTACATGCTTTTGTCGTGATTTCATTGTATTGATGATTTTTTTGTTTGTCTGTGATGTTTCGGATTCCGTGGAGCCACTGGGAGTACTTTAACATGCATCGCTTTTCGTTCCGATTGTCATCGTGTTTCGTGTTTCAAAAACGTCCGTCCATTCGCAATCTCAATTTTGATCTAAGGTTCCATGTATGATTCAGTTATCTCAGTAGCGTGTCTGTTGTTCGCCTCCGATCGAGAAGGTTTCAAGAAAGTCAATGTATCATTACGAGAAGTGATAGTGAAAGGTATCGCCGGACCAGTGGCTGGTTTCACGAAGACAGTTGCGTGGAGACGGATGCGGCGACGGTTTTCCACGGGAAGTAAACGTGTATACGTAGCTACGTGCGCACGCGACTCGACGCGATTCCGGGTGAGAGAACTTTCCGTTTTCCGATTGCCTGATCGTATCTTAATTCGCGGAGTTAATTGAATAAACGTCTGACGCACGGTTGCGTAATTGGATGCAGAGCGCGCGGTAAAAAAAAAAGAGGAAACGCATCGCGTGAATCGTGAATCGCGAATCGAGGCGGCGCGCGGTGGCGCAGCTTTCTTAACAGGAATGTCGATACCGAATGCCGCAAACAATTTCTCCTCGGTCGTCGAGACCTCACTTGGGATTCGCTAATGAAACGTTTTCATCGCCGATATAATTTCTCAATTATCCGTTACGTTACGGGAAAGTGTCGAGTTTTAAAAAGAGAGAGAGGGGGTATCCAAGGTCCTGTTTTAATGGACCGTATCCGATACGATCGGGGATCTCGAACGTCCACGGGGAAAGGGAGAAATTTTTTTTCTTCTAAATTAGTCCTGGCCGTCTGCAGGATTTTCACTGAGCTCTGTTCAGCAGCGGCTCACCTGAGAGACTTCTGGGAACAGTTCCCGCAGGATACCAATCGTCCGTTTGCTCCGTTGGGCGGTCTCGTTGTCGGCTTCGACCATCACCAGCCGATCGAGTGCCTGAAAAAAGGTTTCCCTGTTGTCCCTACAGACCGTTTTCATTGCCCCCTGAACAGCAGCTCTACTCTTTCCCTTCGCGACAGATTCGACAAAGTATCGCCGATTATCCTCTGCTAATAAAACTCAGCGATGCTCTCTTTTCCAAATTAGTGTCATGTCATCGACACGGGACCGTTATCGAGTAGAACGAGGAAGTGTATCGCAGCCTCGAGTTTGTCGCTGGTTTATCGAGAGCTGATCGAAAGCTGCGCGGGGAGTGTTAAGGTAATAACGTTGCGCAATGGGAGCAGCTGGTAGGGGAGACGCAAAGTCGGAAGGATCCCGTGAAACGGCAATTTTCAAATTACGCAAAGTCGTTTAAACGGAACTGTACTGGAGAACGAACGAACTGTAGTAACGTCGCGCGCCACGGTTCGAAATTGCACGGTTTAAAAACCTGATTGCGTATTATTACGGGAGTCGCATTAGTGACGCTACAATTTTCTGTTACGATACGAGTCTTTTAACTCGCCGCGCATAAGGAAAAGTACAAACAGGATGCTATAACAAGGGGTAATAAAGAGCAATGGAGTTATTGATATTCCACTTGGAATCATTTTGCAATAAACCAAGGTGTCCGACAAATTAATTGAAACCGTTCTGACGCTTGCACGGTCGTCGGACTCAAACGTTGCTCAACTTGGTTACTATGGTTCACTTTCCCTCGAACTTATGCTCACGTCCGACGCCGTTAATATTTTCGCCCCCTAAACGTTGTACATTGTTTTCTCTCTTTATATATATGGTGTAACGAAATCACTGGGCAGTTTTGTTTTAAGGACAGCTGTACTGAACTATAGAATAGTACCAGAAATTGTATGTTCGGAACAGAACGGTTGTAGAAATAGAAGCAATTTTTGTCTTTCTCCTAAGAAATCTTTTAAGAACTCTATTTTTAATAAAATAATAATGTAAAGCTCGTTGATGAAAATATATCCTGAATCACATTGTGAACCACTGGGACACGAGAGAGGTAGGAGACATTCACGTGTGCCTCGTGTAGGTAGGTGTACGCTTACGCTTTCCATTGGGCACCGATCGAGCGAAGAAAGTGTCCGATGTATAGCTTTGTAAGTGTTCGCGGCCAGTGAAAGTGTCGGCCCCGAACAAGAGAGAAGTTCGGATGTACCAGGTTTTCGTGTGATCTCAGCTCGGGCTCTGTTGCCTAACCCTTACCCCCGCCCCCTAACCCTTTCAGTGAAACACCCGGGGAATCACTTTCGCGCGTGACACATCAATCTTGGAAACGACCTTCCGAGGTATAATAGTCTTCCGATCGTTTCCATAACGATTGTTCAAACAATCGCGTCGCAGTTGCACTTTCAAGAGCTACCAGTATTGTCTCGCGTGAGAATAGATTCATGATAACAACAGACTTCCTTAGCGGCAAACAGAAAGGATGTTCGCGTTGTCTGTCAATATTAGAAGCTAATTGAAAATATTTGCACGTGCTGCTGCATTATCTATCGGAAGGTCGTCGATATACAGTCTAACACACTTGCACGAGTCGTAAGAAATGCGTGGAGGAATGAGAATTGTCTTAGGTCAAATGGAAATCGAACAGATCGTATGCGAGCCTTGATCGAGGATTCTCAGAGCGATCTAGCGATCGTAGAGTCACGCGGAGCGTCGTTTTCTTCGAGCCTGAGGTCGTAGCACTCGATAACGCGAGAGTGAAAGAGTCGAAAGTGAAACATCATCAGCCGAATCGATTGGCTCGGTCCAACGATCGGTTGACTCAGGTTCGACTTAGCGTCTCGTCGAAATCCTGCCGCGAAACTTTCGCAAGAAGTTGAACAATTTCCATCGTTGGCTATCGCGGCAATTAACTGGTCGCTGGGTGCCTGGACGCGAATTTTCGGAACGGAAACGCTCACGCTTTCTCCGACGACGATCTCGTCGGAATCTATAGCGGCTTATCTCGTCGACACATTGACACAGAGAAAGCTCTCGTAACGCCTGTTACGTAATCCTTTGATCCTGATTCTATGGGAGCATCGTATTCTGTCCCAAATACGAGTGCGATCGATTCGAAGAACGGGTGACACAGTCAGTGTCGAGAATTCGATTACACGTATCCTACGCGTGTCTGTACAAGCGGTTTTGTACGTGCTTGCCCAGAGTTGGACTAAACAAATTCATCGTATTAAGTTATTCGAGAAACCTGGAACGAAGTCTTGTTCAAATAAATCTGATCCATGTTTATTCGTAACTCATGAATATGGTTGCCCAACTCTGGCCTGGAGGACCAGCAAGCCCGTGCAAAGTGCGGTTCGAGGAAGGACACCTGCTACGAACGACTTACCTCGGATTGAAGGCGATCTCCTTCGGGAATCGGATACGAGCTGACCAGAGCCACACACATCGTTGTTGCCAAAATAACAGCGTACTTCATGTTTGGTACGGAGATTTATAAATCTGGAAGGAAAACAAGACGACCGGATTATTTTTCAGATTAATTTCGTTGCAATCGTGGAACGTTTGATAGCTTCGATCCGTTTTTGTTCGTGATTTTCTTATTGAGACGCTTCCGGGATGATTCGGTGCGAGCCGGAAATGGTTCGAAAGGATTTTGGTGAAAAAGAAACGAAGGTGAAGGAGCCGCGACGATCTTTCACGGAGAGGGGAGTGCAATGGCTCTCCTTTCTCGAGCATGGATACGTTCGAAACTATCACTTTCGACCGAATGAAAGTCGCGAACGCCGTTGGCATCCTCAACGCTGAGATTCTCGAGGAAAGATGACTGTACGAGCCATTGCAAAACGTAACAACGTATAATTGCAACAGAGAACGCATGGCAGTATCACATTGGCAACACTATCTCCACTATTTATTTGATATTGTTCTTAACAAATAAATTCAGATAAAATTTTCGTTAAACAATTATGTTACACACGTCATGGCATAAAAGAATCGAGTTATGTAAGTCAAAGGGCAAATTCTCGAATGAAAAAATGATTGCGCCAGCGTATTCAAAAAACCGATTTGCATTTCAATTGCCGGTGTCTATAAATAAACTAGAAATTCAAATGCGGATGGTCGACTGCATTGGCCAAAGTGAGCCAGTAATTGCAATAGCGAGCAGCCTGAATACAATGCTTGGCCACACACCGAGGCAATATGGATTCAGCGCACATAGCCCCGTGGCCAATGAGGCAAGCATTGCGCATTCGAGGTCAGGTAATGGCAACTGTGATTGATTATCGTTGCCGAAACTTCAACTATTCGGTAACAAAATAAACATCTGCGATTTAATTTGACGTGTATAGTTCATTTGGAGATAATAAAGAAGTCGTGTAAAGGCTACCAGGCGTTCTTCCGCGGGGGTTAAAAAGGAACCGCGGCCTCGTCGACAAGAGGCACGTGCGTTCCACGATATCATCACAGTTCAATAGAAACCGTATTTTCCCGCAGCGAATTTCGATTTTCTCCTCGCGCTTGTCGTCCGTTCCGAGGAGAACCACTTCACGTAGAATTTTCACTCCGATAAACTGTTCGCGGCTCCTTACATCGCCGAGGCAGGCAAGGAGAACTCGAGGAGGATATGAAACGGTCCGCGCTCAGGAAACTATCGAGCGTTTCACCAAAAATTTGACCCAATAAAACGAAACGGAGGAAATTGGCAATGAGTCGTTTCCACTGATCTTTTGAAAAACAATTTCCGAATGATGCTCGATAGTTTTCCCTCACTGAACACAGAGTCACGTGGAACTCTCGATCACTAAACGCTCGAACAAGAGGAATCACGAACGCGTACCGCGTGCGAACTCACCACACACCGTTTCAATTAATAAAATTCGGTAAACGCAAAAATTTGTTCGGCTCGGCCACTTGTCAAAAGGACCCAAAAGGAGCTCTCCGTGGCTCCTGCTCTCGTCGGCTTTTCTGTGACTGTCTGTGTAACGGAGCTTAGTGAGCGGCTTATATTAGAAGGAGGGGCCTGGCGCCACCTCCATGCCACGTTTAAGCCTCTCTGTTCCTCTTTCTTCAGCCGCGATCCTGAAGAAGGGGTCCGACCGACGTGCGTGTGCCAGTGAGAGATCCATCCGATGTGCTCGCGAAGATGAAGCGGACTCGGAAGCATCCAGGTGCGATCGTTATCCGTGAACCCGGAGGAATGGATCGTGTCACCAGATTGCCATGATCTCACTGGAATTTGCATTTGAGAAATTTTTTCAATCCTTAAAACGAAACACATCGCACAGAACCTGATCGAAAAGTATTGACTGACAGATCGAAAGAACAATTAATCCTCAGTTCGGTTTCCTGATCTTTTTAGAAACACTTTTCTTGTTCGACAGGATTACTTAGAGTTTATGTCAATTGTTATGTCACAATAGACACGTTACACTGTACATTGTTTTTACTTCCACTCTTACGTCCGATTATAAAACTGATCCTTCTTTTCGTCCATCACACGCCGAGCTGAAACTTATATAAGGACTCGATACAATTCGTCATCTTGCCAAGAACTCGGTTTTATCATGTCTAAATACGTACTCCGCTTTCTAAAATCACGTGCTTTAGATACAAAAGAAAGAGGTGATGACTTAATTGAAAAATGGAACGTTAATCCCAGGGGAAAGATTCTAAGTAGATTGGGCCCGTGCGTAGTCGGACGGTCGCGCGCTCCTATTACCACCGATGTGAACTGGATCCGGGACAATAGTCTCGAGGCGCCTAATTACTAATTATATAGTCCCAAAAGAAACTTTCCAACGATTATTCGCGAACAGAGAACCAAATCGTCGGGTAAATCGAAATTTATCTCAATGTGACTCCGCTCTTGTTGCTTTCTCCGTAAAATAAAATCATTACCAGTGAAAATTCTATTATGAATCCGATCTGCACTGCAGGACTTCCGTTTCGGATTATTACCCAATTGTTTGCTCGACGTGAACACGTTAATAATTCATAGAAATTCTGTCGCGAACTTGTTGTTAGATAAGAAGATTTCAAGTCCTTATGTAGTGAATGAATAGGTAAGAATTAGCATTTGAAATAACTGCGTTTATTGATTCTATCGACTGAATTAATATCTTCCACTACTCATCGTACTGTACAATCTTTCTTTTAAATTTATGTATCCTTCCACTTTTATTATATTACTTCACTTATATATAATGTAAAAATGGAAAGAGCAAGTGGGTATCTTATGGACGTGGTATGTTAAGAACTCGATGAAAAAGGATTGAAAGACACGCGTCGGTAATCATCAAGCGAAGAAACCGTTACAATTGATCGAATTTAGGAAACGAATCAATAACCATCCGTTCAAATGGCAATTGTCAAAAATTTGGTAATCATCTGTTGAAACTTATTGCAGCAATCGGTTCGAATACGAACGAGGTTTCTTAATAATCTCAGTCGATTAGATTTATTGTTAAACCACGAATAGAGGCACGTGATCAAATATTAACACAAGTAAAATAGCGATTCGGGATTTCCACCGATCTTATCTCGAAGTCAGTATCCGGTAATTTCGTAACAAGTGTAAACCATGTCAGGAATAAAAATCTGCGAAGTTTCCAATTTGATGATTCAATTTGAGTGTACTTGCTTCTGTATTATACATGAAAGTAATAATTGTATAAGGCGAGTAGCACTCTGTTAAAAAATATTGAAAATTGATTGATCAAACATGTGATGATGATCTTTCTTATGATAAAAATTGTTACTATTATATATCGTTTATATGAAACGTAGAACAGGGAAGCCTATAAATTGGAGATCGGTAGAAAATTCGAAATATCGGAACCTTGAATCCGTGCGTGTACCTTGGTACCTCACGGCCTCGAAATTAACGCCAAAATATTAATAAACAAGCTACCTATGCCTCGTATCTATGAGATCGTACGATGGACGGTCTAACGACTATATTATGCAAACCTTATTGACGACACATAACTACTGGTCGAAGGTGACGAACCCCGCGTTTGAATTATTTTTTTCCAGAAAGTGTGGAGGCATATATGTACAAGTTATGTGTACATAATCTGCGATCATTGGCATTGTAAACATTTTTACGTTCTCAAGAATTACATGCCCCGTGGTCGAAGTTTGCCCTGTTACGACGTTTCCGCTTATTACTTACTGTCAACGATACGTACGACCGACAGAAACGAGGGGACTGGCAGTCATTACCGAATAACGAAATCCTCGGAACAAATCAGTCATCAATTACAATCTTAAAAAAAAAAATAGGACTTAACAATTTTCTCTTATTTCTTGTCGCAACGGAGAGATTCTAATTCTCCACTTGTAATATACCTCGATGCACCTTTGACTGGAATTTACATTCCAATAAAATCCTTGCTGGCGCGTTGTTAATAGCTCGTTCGACTTTTATTTAAAAAAAAAGGAAACATATCCATGGTTGAACTTTCGACGTTATGCAACTTCAGCTTTCTTGCCTGATTTGATTCCGCTTTCATCGATCTTTTCGCGCTATTACAATTCATCTACATTCCTCGAGATATTTTTTATACATTTTCTTCTACGAAAACCACACGTCTTTTATTAACGAGACACCTCCTTTATTTCTAACAACGTAGCGTTCATCCTATGACAAATGACGAGGTTTCAAATGCCTCTTGCATGAAATATTTCTATACTATTTTTTTGTCGACCTTCTTCTTTCCAGGGCACGGATGAATTTACGACAACGACGAACAAGGTGTATTCCTTGAAACAATTAAACGCTAACAAAAAAGGTGTCTTCTGAATGGCTCAAGGATTCCATTATTTCTCTATCATTAGCGTCTCATAAAGGCTTACGTAACTAGTCGATATTTATGTAATTCGGTGGCGCGGAAACGCGTGTTCGATCTTCGATTGTATCTTTTTCCCCGATCGGATATTATAACCATGGATAATAGTCGGGCCACGTAACAGATTTCCACGATCGTATTCGAAATGTCGTGACACCTGCGTTCCACGGTTAGTTCCGGTACCGGTTTATCCGAGGAAACCGCTACGACGTAATTTCAAATAGAACAAAACGCGACCGCGGTAGAATTCCATTAGAAATAACAGTTTGCTTTCGACCATGTTTTGTCGAATAGTAAATCGTCAGTTAAATCGACGAGAATAATGCATTCTTAAACATGAGAAACAGTTTTCCATTTTTCCATTTTTATTGTTTCACTGTCTGGAAGTAAATGAATTCCGCTACACGTTTAAACGTTGTTTCTTAAGTATACTCGTCTCAAAACACGTTTTACGATTCGTTATTCTCATCACGGGAATTCCGGGAGTCTCGATTCTAATGGATTGCCAGGCGACAACGGCTTCGTTTCTAATGAATTCTTCAGGGCCCCGACTTTTCCACGCTGGTACTAGAAAACCGCCGGATTTTAACGCGTTACGAAATTCTATCAAGATAAGGGCCAGGGTTTGTTGTAATCGTGCAAACGTGCGTTAGGGCTCGAAGGAGAACTTCGTTAGTAGTCTTCCTTGTTTCTACTACTCGGGCCAAGGACTCGCGTCGATATCTCCTTACAAAACTAGTTGACTCATATTATTTTTCTTGTTCATATTTTGTGCATTGGGGCCACACTTTCGACGCTACGTTGCTAAATCTTTTAATGTTCGCGATTGTATGGTAATCTGGAACTCCATTTGTCAATAACTCGATGCATGATGGAAGATTATCATCGTTTTAAAACCTTTTCAACTGATTGCGAAATGTGTTTGTTCGAAATGCTTTTAGAAGAACTGTTATTCAAGATTTAATTGCAAATGTCTCATCGATGTTGTCCATTTAAATGCAGATCATCTTACTGCCTTGATACGATTTTCAGTCTGTAAAAATGTAAACACGTTTACTTAATCTAGCAAGAGAATGTTAATATTCAAATCCAAAGATAATACTTAAAATGATTTAAGAAGAAACTAAACTTCTTGGTGAATGTCCAACAATTCGACAGTTAACTTCATGATAACTTTGAAACTGTTCAACTGGGAAAGATAATTCTCTATTAATGATTCTATTTTGATTACTGCGCTTTCTCAACAAAATTTTGCATGCGTCATGGAATTTTCACAAATACCACGATCCCAGAAGAATAGATTCCTACCGGAGAAAGTGTCACGTGATTTCATCCCCGCTGTAATCGCGGCTATCAGAAAAAGCCGCGATCGTAACTACGTGAGAACGCTCGCCAATGATCTACGCTTCGTTCTTTCAACGGCATACGAACGAATTCTCAAAACCGATTTCCTGGTTAATTCGATTACGAGTAAAAACGAGACGCGGTCTATTTATTAGTGTTCTGCCTGGATTACGCGCGGTCTCAAACGAAAAGTCGAGGCTTTCTTGTCGACGGTTCAAATTTGAAATACCAACGTCACTACGACGTTTGCCTTCCTGGTTGACATAAGTGTCGGCGATTATCTCATTCTCCTGAATGATGCAAATACTCGTAGTGGTAATTATTCAAGAATTATTAGACGCAACTGGTAACTGAGACATACATCTTAAAATAGATGTTTAGAGGATGCGAGATTTTCAATAAGCCTTTCATGCGTCTTTCACGAAAATGTAAAATATCAAACTAAGTACGCACGTCTGATTCGTGTCTAAAGTATGAAAGGAAATTTTGCGTGACCCAGTTTTAATACGCGAAGGCGCAGGCTTGGCACATGGAAAACTACGATTTACTGAGCTAATAACGATAATTGCTTGACGATAGTAATCATTCGGTAGGAACAGGAATAGATGGACAGGTTAATTATATTTCGACTGCAGGTTCTATGCATTTGAAACATGTATGCAATCTAAATACAGAAGCTGAGTACGTATCTTGATTAATAAAAAATAATTTCGCCGTAATTTGAAGATTTTCATTACAAAATTTTATGTTGAATGAAAATCGAAAGTCTGATCACAGTATCGTTTCTCAACGTTACGACTGCAAATGTTGCTGACCTTGCATGTCGTGTCGATCTTAATTGCATCGAAAACTTTATTTGCCACGTATGTACAATCGCTTCTGTCTCTTTATTGCATCCAACAAGTAAAAGTGAAACTGATTAAATATAATGGCGCCAACACTACTCCATTTATCCAGCTCGCAAAAACATTTGCACGATTAGAAATTCATATATTCCCTTCCGTACCTCTCGTTTCAGAGTACATATAATAGACATTTATTAATATTTATTTTACAGTTTCTATATGCACTAAACTGCATTCGGTGTTTAACATGGAATTAAACGTTTTCAAATAATTAGGAGAAAGTGAGTTGGTCAATGAAGCAATGATTAGAAGGCTAGATTTATTTAATGACATTTTATTACTCTTTTAACTTGTCAGCCAGTATCGTAATCGTATCAGGAAATGTGCTCTATCAAAGAAGAACCAGTTACGAAGTATTACTTCAACGGTGGCAAGAAAGTTCGCCGGTGGGACAAAGTCGGGGCACGGCGTGAAAGAGTCGTCGAACGATAGAAGAAATTGGGTCGATCAGTGACCTGAGACAATGTTATCGGACCGAACGATTTCTAATAAAATCGATTGATCGATCGCGATTTTACCGACGAGGGAAAAGGCGATCGGTGAATCGGCGATCGGCGACCACCGGATTCCTCGATTATCGCTAGACGGAAACACCTCTGTAACCCTTTTTCTGATAACAGTTTCAGAATGACAAAACCTCTCACTCATTTCATGTAACATTCGTCCTCCTCGAAACATTGTAATAGTCAACTCATTTAAAAATGACGAAACTGGCGCCTCAGAAAACAATGTCGCAATGTATAGTTTAGAATGATTAATGCAGGCGTTAATTATACAATTTTTGTTCGAATACAACATTGCAAGATGAACAGCAGATTTTAAATTTAACATGTCGCAACCGATAGCTTATAGCAGCCTCAATTAGCTCGGATGAAAGTAGTATGACGAACGCACGCTGTACGAGGCCGACAATGTTCTCGTGAATTCTAGGGAACGAGTTCTCGACACGAGCATTTTCATCCGAAACTGTATGTAAGCGGATTCTAATATGTACCGATTCGAGCGAGAAAGTATCGTCGCGCACTTTGATTTTTCTTTCTGGTTTGTCCGGTAACGCAGTAGGAAAGAACGTCCGCTGAACCGTGGCGCAGATAGTTCAGAAATTGCATATATTTATTGGATGCTAACTAGGCGATATCCAATCGTGAAAGCTACTAATTGCCATTGTCGTTACATGGTTAAGAATAGAGGAGCGAATCAAATGGAACTGATCGCATACATGAAATGCACCGCGACAGAGTTCGATTCTTAAATAGAAATCACGTAGTCTTTTTTAATGTGTAAGCACAATTAACTGCGTTAAGCACTTTCGCGAAATTTCGTAACGTGACAGGAAAAAGTGAAAGGCATTTCCTGCTACTCTGCCCGTGGACGAAACGCGAAAGATACGTGAGATTCTAGACCGAAAGTACCAAATCTAGATGATACGTTTTTTACGAGTAGCTGAACCACTTTTACGCTTGACATGTCTAACCTTTGCCTTTTTTTCTCGGGACATACGGTTTCTGGATTATTTATCTTAATGTCAAGTCGATTAGATTGTAGAAAATTGCAACATGGTTTAAAAAGCTTGAGCCTAATTTGTATGCAGCAAAGTTATAAAATTGCGAAACGCAGGATCACTTTAATGAGAAGCAATTGACTGGGACACCTCATAGTAAAGGTAACGGAAAATGCTGTAATATTTTGTAGTACAATCGATGCAGATCAGGTGAAGTAAATCAAACTGCAACGCGCTGTAATTCTACGTTAGAATTATAATGAGGGGGTTCGTGTAAGACCCGTTTGTTATAAATCTGAGTAAAAAACCGATTATAAATTGTCCGTACTATCCGAGGATCCATAAAAACGTTATCCTTGCGCGAAAGGGGATTTATTGAGCAAGAGACCCAGATTCATGTTACACACTGTGTAACCTTTAAAACTCTATATCGTCTTCGTTTGCAAAATCGTCTCGGCATTGACTAGCAATGTGAAACTCTATAAACGTCACGGAGGTCGCAGCCTCGATGAATGAAAAAAATCCATTCAACTTAGCAGCACGAACTTCTAGTAGTGCGTCTAAGAATGTCGAATTGGAATCCTGAAAAAGGCCGATCGTCTCACAAAAGATTTCTGAAGTTTTAGTATCAAAAAAGTAATCTTTCATATGAGTCAAGATTGTTGTTTATTAATTACCAAAAAAAGCAAGAGAAACGGTGCGAGTGGGATTACATGATTGGAATTGTTGCATCACTGGCTCCTTTTTACGTTCCTATCCTACGCGCGACAAACGTGAGGAGATCGCTGAGTGAATTGAAATTCTATCGAGCAACAATGACGGCCTTGAACGGATCTGCACCGTAAATGGTACCCCGCCGATATCTGGTACGATCAAAGTCTCTTGAGGCTGGTCAGTAAACTGATCTAACGGTGCTCGTTGTAGGAAAACCTGTTTAATCATTGATGACACATGGAGCCCAACATGCTTCTTGATTAATCACCGTTCGTACACGATAATTCATGAATTGATTACAAACTTGTATTAATCTTGTATATCTATTAAATATTTTAAACAACTTGATTCCTTTTCAAACTTGTATCCTGATATCCTTCCGCCTTATTTGTATTACTTTCTTCGATAAAAAAAAGTTGGGCATAGAAACAAGTGAAAATCAATTGTAAGCGAAAGTTATGCGATTTTCTTTATTTCGTTTGCAACTTGTAGCAGCAAACCGACTTGCCACTATGTTTTAAATCAACATTAAACCGGCTTAATAACCCGCGAACTAGCGCAGCGTGGTGACTTTCATCAGCGTGGGAGCGCGTTAAACTTGTCCTTGCTTTGTTTCTCACTGGAAACGCCTAACGATCGCGGTGGGAGATCGTTCACCGTTCTCATTGTTGCCACCCGATGCTCCAAGATCAAGATCACGGTCACTCCCGACGGGAAATCCGTTTTTCCCACCTTTCTCCACTCCTCAAAACCGCGATTCAATAAAATAGATGAATCTTGCAAAATATTTCGTTTCTTTCCACAAGAATCTTTGAATTGCAAGCATGAGGCGTAGCTCAACCGTGAAGTAGCGATTTTCAGATTATGCAACCGCCTATTGGGAATATAGAATGATACACAATTATGAGAATCGATTAGCCGGTTGGTTTCGATTGCCTCAAATCGCGCTCGCGCACAGGTTTCTTCGCCGATTGCGAAAGTCTGTCGTCGGCTTCTCATTGTCCCTCCCACGAGAAAATGCGTCGCGGTAATTGCAAGCGCAACGCCGGAAGCAAGCCGACACTGTCATTAGGAATGCCAATATCCCGACCGGCACACGGAATATAAGTGCACGCTCGCGCGATTTCGTAAAGGAAAGGGACAATCGATTCCGTCCATCTGCTATAAAACAACAATTTTTTACGCACGCGTTCAGTTTCCACGTCGCGGCCCCATGCCGATTTTCCCTTTCGCATTTTTATATCCACTATTGTGACACGATCGATACAGGACGTTTCGTGTTGAGAATTTCAATCGTGAAAATGACATCTGAGTGTCGAATTTTATCACCTCCGTGTGGACTCAGTGATAATAAATTAAACAATTAACCATGTTAATTATACGTATATGAGTGACATTTTTACTCTCAATTGCAACGTTTCTATTGGAGAGGATGATTTTTGTACCGAGCTTGCCGAAGACTTTTTGGTGGTATCAGAAGAGATAGAATAAACCCTGATTATTGTCGTATGTGATCTCTGGTGAAACTGTTATAGTTTCGATTACACTTTTAAGAGGAACGCGTTGAAAATGCTGTTGTTAGGGAGACTGGCACGTTGTTACCCTATGCTGGCTCTCGCAACGATAAACCTAGTGATTTCAATGCCCGCGCCACCGTCTAAACGAACGGAACAGGGGAGCGGATTCTCGACTGTTCCAAAAATATTAGAAATACAACTGCCATTAGAGATCGCGAGCAAAGAAGATTTAGTCGCTTGGGCCAAGTACGTCATGAGCTTGATGGCTTCTAAGATAAATATCACGCTGGGTACAGTGAAAGAGACGAAGACCGGTGGCAACGCTAAAACTTCTGATAGTATCAAGGATTTCGACAACTCGAGACAATCGCAGAACGTTAAGAGTTCCGTGTCGAATAATTTCGACAACGTCAGACCGATCAGCGGAAATTTTGCGAGTTTACAGAACTTCGAAAACGCGAGATACGCGGAGAACGTGAGGAATCTTGGACACCTAGCTAATTACGATCGGTCCAAAATTCCTGCGGTCAACATTTTAGAGAATGGTAGACTCATTGGAAATTCAAGGAATCCTTCGAGAAACGGGAACGTTCAATCGTCCAAGGAAAAAGTCTACGCTACTCCTATATCGGCTTTCACGATAAACGGAATAAACGGGCATGGATTTTTTAATAATCGGCCACTCCCGACTTTTAATACCTTCGGAATTTCGCCAACGACTATCGCCACCCCTCTAGAAATCAATGCGAATATAAACGTTCCCAGGACGAGAATCAAGGATGCTTTTGATAACTTAAGACCTCAGAAAATAGATCAACTAGAATTCGTTCCTCAGGGTCCAGATTTTGGGCCGACTATTAGCGTCAATATCCACGATATCTTCAGGAACGGAAGCGTCACGCCTCCTTCGAGAGCGTATCTGCCCGTAACGAGTGACAGCCTCAAGATTCCGAACGATCCGTACGTCACTAGATACTTCTTCGACGGGATCGAAAAGAAGGTTCCCAGCAATTTAGGCATTGTCCCGTCAGAAATCTCTTTGACAACGCCTAACCCGAGTTTCAGCGATGAACTACCTTTACCAGTGAAGACCATCGATCTGCTGTCGCGACAGAGGAACATCAGTTCTTTGAAACCGCTGTTTAACGTTCCGTTCGAAGCGGTAATTACATTTACTCGAGGAGAAACCATTGAAACGACCACGTCCAGCTATGAAAGGGACACGTACTTCGCGATACCCAGCAGAGATCCTCCAGATCAGTTCCCACCGTACTTTGACACCAATTATACTTTGACTAACGAGTCCGGGCAGATCAACGTCGTACTCGACGACGGCACTCAATTGACCGAATCGCGGAATCAAACGAAAGAAGAGAAGAAGAAACAAGATAAGAAGAAGAGCAAATCGAAGAAGCCGAAGAAGTCGAAATCTCGTGAGCCGTCGGTGATCAGTCAATTGTTGAAGAGTTTCGTGGCCCTGAGGAGGAACAACACACCGTCTACGAATCTTACACCGCCTCCTTTCACTCAGAATGTTGTATCGACGACGCAGAGGATTCCGACGGGGCAAAGAATCCCACCGTCGAGGACCGAATTGTATCCTACTCAAAAACCATCGGTGAGTTCGTTTGGAAATCGGATGGTATTCATGAAATTCATGGTTTTGTCCAATTTGAAATAAATTCAGAATATTCATACATCTGGGATGATTATTTCGTAATTTATTGACCTGCAATGTTCATATAAATAATTCATAAATTATTTGAATGAAATTCATGATATTCTGGAAGAACTGCTAAAGAAACAGTTTATTCTAAAAGTGGAAGATTAAAATCGTACGAGATTAAGAAATACAGATATAACGACTAACATTATTCCATTTTTGCTGTTAGCATTTTATGGATTAAGTTAATATGCATAATCGTTTTAGAAAAAGAAACTCACGCTTGATTGCAGTAGTTAAACAGAAACAAGAGAATCGTGCGATTGTAAGGTAATTAAAGTGAAAGGCGCGCGTGATTAAAAGAACCATAAGTGTGGACGAAGTACATAAACTTTAGGATTACGCGAAATTTGACAGGACTAGTGCGAGTTCGACGTTGCAGTAGATTGCTTAACGAGGGTCAACCTCGACTATCAGCACGGACGAGGTGCTGATATTTAGTTGTAAGTCAATAAAATCGAAAGCCGGTATTACGCCATTCGGGTTTCTTTATTCGAGAGGAAAAAAATCACGAATATGAATATACATGATGAATATGTGTATTCGAGAAAGTGAGTTTCGTGTGGCGCCGTGAGACGCGTTCGATTTTCTGCAACTGATTTCACTAATTATGCACAGCCTGTATGGGCCATGAGGTTCGTTAAGGTTCGCTTGCGTAATTGTCAACTCGCCAAAACGTTCACTTTGTATTTCTCACGTGTAAACGCGACACGATTTTTCTTTAAGTTCGTTCGCGAAAGACGGGTGAGAGGTAATTGAAGCCGATTCGTTTATTTCAGTCCGCGTTCAAACAAGGAAGACGTAATCGGACGCAAAATCTGGAGGTACGTTGAATTCTTTCCTAGTGGCAATCGTGACCATCCGTAGCTTTAAATAAACATTAAAAAAAATAGGACGACGACGAAAGTAGAACTGAGGAAGACAATGGTAGCAGGGAAGAAAGTGGGAGCGCAGAGAACAACGGTAGCAAAGAAGAGAGTGGGAGCAAAGAGGAAAATGGAAGCAAAGAGGAAAGCGGAAGCAAAGAGGAAAGCGGAAGTGCAGAAAACGGCAACGATAAGAGCAACGTCGAATCAGAATCGGAAAGCGAGAGCGACTCTGATGAGAGCGACTCTTCTGAAGAGGAGGGCGGCGGTTCCATTAAAGCCGTGATCGATTTACTTCAGATCGCCGCGCCTATTATAGAAGATCTCAGTGACGTAAGAGCCTTTTTCTATTGTCCGGATTTCGACGCCCGATGAACTCCGGACAATGTGAAAAATATTGAAAAATGTTTGAAATAGGATAGCTAGGTTGCAAACGTTTGTCGTGGCGCCTACTTTCGTTCAATTTTCCAGCCCGAATCCGATGCCGATCTCGTTGACATCCTCGATACTGCCATTCCTCTTCTTCAAGAACTCTCAGAGGTAATAGACTCAACAAATCCATGTGTATCACTTGACAGAGTCAACAAATCGTACGAACTTCGCTCTCTGGTATTTATTCATTCATATATATTGAACCACGGTTGTAGGGCGACGGGGAAACCGAAGGAATCGACATACCGGGACTCCTAGTGCCCGTACTCCTCCAATTTAGCAGAGTAAGTTTTACCCTCCGCTTTGCAGAGGTATATAAGATCAAATAAACGTAATGAGATTTGATTCAGGACAGGCAGGGACAGAAGAGAGACTCGGCTGCGATTCTGACGCCGATACTTCAATTAAGCGCTCCGCTAATTGGACCTCTCGTTGGTCCACTGATTCTACCGTTGAGTCATCAGAGTAGCAAGGTATATATGTTAATTAACAAAATGTCTCTTTTGCGTATTAGAGGATGATATGATTTGCAGCCACCGGGTCAAGGCGGATCCTCGTTCGCCGATTTGTCCAAGTCTTCGTCAGGTCCATTACTCGAGGTAATATAATACAATTATTCACATGAATTTTACAACGATGTGACGTGTAATTTTATTTTATAGCCTGCCGGACCTGGAAAGATGTCTGTACTATCGAACCTGATCGCTTCTGTCGTCTCTAGTCTTAGCAAAGTACGCATTGCTCTTTTTGTCAACTTGTCAACTTCTGTTCTTCTCTAATAAACCAATAATTTCATAACTAAATCTGTGTTGTTCTGTCACTTTCTAACTGTCAACTTCTTCCTACTCTTTCCAACGACTGGTCACGATTCTTCCTAATAATTTTTCGGTGCTTGCATTTTTTCAGAATTCAGGTCCAGGTGGTAAATCAGACATAGCAACTCTCGTGAAAGCAATAGTAGCAGGATCGATATCAGGATCTAGTGCAGGGTCCAGTGGTGGTCAACAGTCCTACGGGCCACCCCCTAGCTACGGGAACGGTGGCGGGACTTACGGGAACGGTGATCGTGACTGACCATCGGCAGTGAGTACTCGTCAATGAAGTACTCGTCAATGAGTACTCTTCTCTTACATTCTTACTTTCTTTCACTCTGGAATTCTCGTCCGCCATCCCTCTGGAATCCCTCTATGATACTTTCTGAACTTTTCAGCAATCGATGTCCTCGAATCCGTTCGCACTGTTCGCATCGTTATCGAATATTCTGGGCACCTCCTCATCGAGCTCGTCGAGCTCGTCGAACTCGGGCGACTCGGGCGAATCGAAACCTTACGGTCCGCCGCAAAATACTTATAGGCCACCCTCTTATAACAAACCATCTTCTTATAGACCGACTACAATCAATCCTCCTATCGAGTCGATTAGTATAACCACGAGTAGACCGGTACGACTGCCGCGATTTTAATTTGTGAAATAGACACTTGCGGTGCCAGAGAAAATACTACAAAGCTACTTGAATAGATTATGTCTAATCTTGTTTTCCTCTGTATAAATATCTGATAAATAAAGGCAAACTCTTTCATGTTATGTGCCCTTTAACTGTCCGTGTCTGACTATACATTATAAGATTCTGAATCATAAGTAGATGTCTATATAATGTATTTTGCTTTTATATAGAAATTTTTTAAATATATAAAACCTTCATCAATTTCCTACCCGCAAATCTGAAACAAAGTCCATACAAAGATAAAAATCTACTAATATTTCCTATTTCTTCAAACTTTATTTATTAATTTTATAACAGCATGCATTTAAGGGTTAAAGTCATTTCACTCGGTAATGATGGTGATCGTGAAGGTGGGTGACGTGTAATGGGATACAGCGGGCGGTTACGTGATTCGAGAAAAAGGAGCTTACGCGGACGCGTTCCGCTCTCGAACAGGTCAGATGCAATTTCACGCATGACGTAACGATCGTTGTTTCACCCGAAACGAGATGGGGTCCGTTCGTTAGCTCGGTCCCACTGCTTTCTATCGAACTTAATTACTCCGCCCGAGGAGGAACTTGAGACAAATTGAATTACGTTTCAGCAATATTACTCAGGAAGTATTACATTATGGTCATACGGCGTAAAAAATTGTGGACTTTCAACAGTTTCAAACTTTAGCTAATTTAAATTTCTTTAAAGAACTGACTTCGCAAACTGTGGACTCTCATCTCGTTCCGTTGCACTAATGAATTTGGCTAGTTTCGACTTTATTCAAATTTCGAACCGTACAAGCAAGATTTCGAAACGTACAAAGAGTGACGAATGTAACTTGCTACTTTGCATATGGAACACGCGGTACAGCATTTACACATCAATTCGACGGATTAACACCGGTCATTTCGTAAACGTAATTGCGTTTCATCATCGGATAACGTCAATTAATTAAGGATGTATTGGCTATACAGTCAAACCTAAAAGTTTATGCACTTTAGAAACGCATTTTTTAAAAAGAAATCAGACGTCGGAAGAACATTGCTAATAATAAACAACAAAAAAAAATTTTCGATATTTCCGAGATTTTTCCAAGGGGTACCCCTTCAATTTCTTCCAAATTTTCGTTTTTGGCCAATAACTCCCAAACCGTTTGATCTACGGGAAAATTGCATGACACCTTTTTTGTAGAGAACAACGA